ACAGCCCTTAAACAAATACTCTCACGTTGTAGTGGACTTTAATAAGAGAGCTCTTTAAAGATATAACTGCACACACAAGTATCAATGATACAACGAAAAATAACAATACAAATCAAGATCACTCTCACAAGAAAATGTAATATTAAATAACAAAATGATGACAATTGTTGTGAAGATATTGTTAATCGTAAACTCCATCAAACATAACAACCAATCACTCTTCTCTTGTATAACGAAAATCCCTTCGCACATGTTGGCACAAGCAAAGTGATGTTAATGATTCTTCCCAACAGTATTACGCAAAAATTATTGATGATAATACTACAACGTAGTGAAGATTGGCCTATAGTGATGTTATAACACCGTTATAATTTCAAACAGTGGTCAGCAAATCAGAAGGCAGACGCAGAATATAGAGTTTATTTGAAAAACAGCGATAGTGTGTGATGTTTAGTGCGGCCTAATAATCAATCTGCTTTTTAAATATGATACATAAGAACAGTGGATCTAAAAAACAAATGTGATTACATGTAAAGCGTCGTAAACAAAGATAAAAAACGTGGTCTTTATTTCATCATTATGAGAAGTATTGAATAATCTTGTCACTATTTAACTCCAATCCGGTTTAACAGAATGGACATAAATTCAAGGGTTCAAGAGTTTTTGTCCGTAAGGGCTTGTCGCTGGAAGACCGTGTAAAAAGACGGGAATATGGAAAAGATCTATAACGTAGGTTAGATGCTGGCAAAAAGACCTAGAAATTACAAATTTTCGGGTTTTGAGGCTTCCATAGAGAACGAAGCCAAAGCTTCTATGAGCGCAGCAGGAAGCCATTCAAATAAGCTTCCGATCTGTTACCCTAATGTCGGAAGCTTGCTCAGTAAGTGGTCGGAACTAGGTGTACAGATTGATTCCACAAAGTCAGATATAATCGCGGTCACAGAAACTTGGCTGACTCAGCCTATTGATTTATGGAACTTGATTTTGAAGGCACTACGTCGGTAAGAGCCAATAGAATCCAGAAGCGTAGAGTAGGTGGAGTAGCTTTATTTATTAGGAATACTATCCCATATGCTATTATTAACAGTGTATCCCGTGAGAATGGGACGTGTAAGTTCGTTTGCCGCTTGAAATGCAAGGAACAAGAGCTGCTGATTGGTTGATCGATTACATGTTACACCTAGGTAAAAGTGATCATGCAGTTCTAAGCTTTGACTTCCACATAGTTGTCAGGAACAAACACGCGTCAGCCTAATCGTGGCCTAACGTCTGGAAAGCAAATATAGAAGAAACTATACATTCAGCATCATCGGTAGGTTGGACAATAATGCTAGAGTCCGCGAATGAAACAGCTTTGGATGTATTTCAAAATTTATATTTAAAATTTACAGTGCCCCACATCCCTTGGAATACAATAGAGTGTCGAGGAACTCTCCCCCATGGTTCAGTAGGGAGATTCGTACATTTCTCCGTAAGAGAAGTAGAGTATGGGGACGTTTTAGGTTACTGGATACTGATAAGAAGAAATATCAATATCAAGAAGTTCGGAAAACTTGTGCCTCGACCCTCCGTAAATCTAGAAGGTTGTACGAAAAAAAGCTGTCAAGGAATCCATAGAATACCCTAAACGCTTTTATTCGTATATAAACCGTAGAACAAAAAGGAGAGGAAATAAATTAGAACTATGTGGAGACAGTTGTGCGTCATCATTAGTAGCGGATGACTGTGGTAAATGTCAAGTATTGTCACACTACTTTAGCAATGTGTGCACCGTGGAAACACCCTTCCCGTCAGTCCATGCAAATCCCCCCACATAAACACTGAACAGGGTGTCCATTAAAGAACTCGATGTCATTGGTCTGCTAAATAAGCTGGACATAGACAAATCCATGGGGCCCGATGAACTGCATTCTAGGTTATTAAAGGCATTAGCTAATGTCGTATATGTTTTAATCTATCCGTAACCCAGGGTCGTTTACCAAAAGACTGGAAGAACGCCATAGTAAGTTCTGTCTTCAAAACAGGTACGAAACATAAACCTGAGGATTACTGACCCGTTAGCCTAACTAGCGTGGTTATTAAAATATAAGAAAGTATTATTCGGAAAGAGCTGTTTAAGTATCTCGATGAAAATCAGATTATTTGGAAAAGCAGCATGGTTTAAGGATCGGTTATCCTAGTCTCACTAACTTAATAGGGGATCATGAAAGCTTGTCCACTCTGAAGGACTAAAAGTTACATGTAGACGCAGCCTATATAGATTTCAGCAAAGCTTTTGACAACGTTCCGCACAACCGGCTGTTATATAAGCTTGGAAATGTCGGGGTTGAAGGCAACCTATTGATGTGGATAAAAGACTTCCTAGTAAGGCGCCAATAAAGAGTACGGGTGAACTTTAAGTTGTCTAGCTGGGAAACTGCGCTTAGCGGAGTACATCAGGGTGCAGTATGGGGACCGGTGTTATTCCTTTCATATGTAAATGACCTTCCTTGTCTCTTATCTTCAGCGGTTTTGTTATATGCTGACAATATGTAGAGAACAATAGAAGTTGAAGACGATAGCTTAGAACTTCAAAATGACATGGAGAAATTATCAGAATGGTTTCAAACTTAGCATTTGCCGATAAATACTTGAAGGCGCATTGTGATTTTTTTTATTTATTATTAATAATGCCTTTATTCAATATTATATTTTTGGTACAATATAGAATTCTCAGCACATCGGTCATCAACGTACAGATACATGCATGATGAATAACATTGAGCTACCTGTTGTCCAGACATACAATGACATGGAAGTCATCGTCAACCAGGGCTTAAAGACTACTGCACACTGCCGTGCAGTATTCGGCAAAGGTTTCATAACTTCATGGTCAATACGTGAGGAGTTCCGTCATGTCGACGCAAATTTTTTTGACTTTGTATACAGTGTTCGTGCGTTCTAAACATGAGTTCTACATACAAGAAACTAGACGCTGCCCAAAATTAGACAGTGAGTTTTCGGAAAGGGTTCAGAGAACCACAACTAAGCTAAGCTAAACCTTTCCTCGTTGTCATATCGAAGAACTAGAGGCGACTTGATTACGTTATTCAAATCGCTTGGTGATAAATTTGCACCTAATATGTCCCATTTTTATTGTTTTCTAAAACAGATAATTTACGAGGAAGCTCCAGAAAAGTTCACAAACCCAGAACAATTTAAATGTCAGCTGAATATCGGCTTTTCCATCGAATCACCAGAGAGTGGAATTCGTTACCTCAGCACGTAGTTGAGGCTCCATCCGCTGACTCTTACAAAAAAGTTGGATCAACTGAGAGATCATCATTCCCAAGACTATTAAGGGCCGCCAAGCCTCTATCATTTCCAAACAGAAATTAGGGAATAGCTGACTGTGATATTCAATATGTCACTTGACCAAGGTGTGTTACCTATGGACTGGAAGGACGCAATCGCCACTCCCACACATAAAACAGGTCCACGACAAGTTCCATGGAATTACAGACCCGTAAGTCTCACCAGTGTTGTAATTAAAATACTGGAAAGAATTATCAAACGGACCATAACGGCATTTATGGAAACCAATAACTTGCTGAACATGGCACAACATGGTTTTAGAAAGAATCTACCCTGTACGGCGAACCTCCTTATAGCAAGGGAGTTCTGGATTAATGCGCTAGACAACGGAAACTCAGTGGATGTTGTCTACATAGATTTCAGTAAGGCTTTTTACAAGGTGCCAACTAATAGACTGCTATTGAAGTTGGAAAAACCTTGGTATTTCCGGACCTCTTTTAAAATGGATTAAAGATTTCCTAATAGGTCGTAGACAAAAGGTAAGAATAAATCCCAAGTGCTCCATCTGGAGACCAGTACTTAGTGGAGTACCCCAAGGTTCCGTCCTAGGTCCTTTACTTTTTATAATGTACGTTAATGATCTTACAAGTATAGTACAGTCTTCAATGTTATTATGCGCTGATGATGTAATCATTTGGTGAGCAATAACTAGAGACAAAGACGCATTTACTCTTCAGACAGACTTAAATAATGTGATAAACTGGTCTAAACAGTGGCTGATGCCTATCAACGCGGAAAAGTGTGTCTACATGCACTTGGGGGAATTAAAGGTTAAAACGTACAACATAGGGGATGTGTCATTACCAGCAGTCCAGTCTCATAAGGATCTAGGGTTGACAGTGAGTAATGATCTTAAGACGACGGCCCATTGCCGGGAGGTCGCAGCCAAGGGGTTTAGAACCCTCTGAGCTTTAAAAAGGACACTCACTAAGTTAGATACTACCATGTTTACCACAGTATACACATCCTTAGTGAGAACTAAGCTCGAGAACTGCGTTCAAGCTGCAAGCCCCTGTTTAAAAGGTGACTCAGACATACTGGAAAAAGTACAGAGGGCAGCTACCCGTGCAATTCCGGAACTCCGGGGTTTTTCATACAAAGAGCGGCTGGAAAAACTGAACGTCTTTAATCTGTCCTATCGCAGACTAATGGGAGATCTAATTTTGGTGTGCAGAATACGGAGAAATGATTTCGGACCTAACTTATTGCCTCTTTTTCTTCTCATTTGATCGGGACACCTCAGAGGACATAGCAGGCGAGTAGAAAAGCCAAGAACGAACAAAATACCCGTGGCACACAGGTTTTCACACCGAGTCACCAATACTTGGAACCTGCTGCCTGAAGCAGTGGTGTCCGCACCTTCAATTGACTCTTTCAAAAGAAGACTGGGCACTCACAGAAGCATACTAGAAGAGGAATAACATAGGCCGTAGGCCTTCTGTCCTTACTACACAAATCTGAATCTGAAATTACAAATCTACTAATAAATACCAAATAGACCAAAATTGGTGGAATTGAATATCTAATCTATGCACATTAAAGATAACCTTATACGTTAAACTGCACCGAAATGGGAAGAAGTGAGCAAAAAGAAATCAGCTTATAGGAGCTCGTTCGAGTATATTGGATATTGAAAACCTTGCGATATTGTCGTGGTGACTAGACGCAGATACTTAAATGTAAGCTTACAAACTATCCCAATTCTTACGCTTAATCTCACGATTCGATAAGTTCTGTCGCGAGCTCTTCTTGATTAGTTGAAAGCAATATAGTGATTTGTTAGTCGTCACCTCTACGTTTCTTGTCAATTTTCTATCCATGGGTTTGCAGATTTGCTTTTTCAGTCTGTTATTACAACAACTGAGGCATACGAATCCCCTGAAAACATACTGTATTGTGGATGTTACAAACTCTGACTGTTGATTTTGAAAAAGAAACGCACGTGGGTAAGAGTTACATGTATGTTTGTGACCTCGGCTTAGTCACTTCGTTAACGAAGTGGCAAATTTGCCAATGTATGAATATACTGATGCAAAACTGTGACATTTTAAGATTTAAAAGTACAGAGTACGATACAATTTTGAAGATTATACTTTGCTCAATCTTAATCCGCATATATACATGCATGATAGTGAACATTTATCACATAAGGTTAGATCAGTTTATCTTATAATTCTATTGAATTGTTCTTAAAGCTAAGATATTACTTAGTCGAGGTTGACGCTGAAAATAGGCATAAACTAAACAATACTAAGGATTAAAACAGTAAGGATCTAATTATTGTCCACAGAGTTGTCCTTACTAGTAAACAAACCTGATATTGCCTCAGCAATTGTGTAACAAGTCATTACAAACAAGAAACGGTACGGTGCTATATCTGTTATCGAACATCTTTGTATGAAGTCGCACTATGGCAAGTTGCTTTAGGAGTATGCAAGTGATATGAGTTTCTACTGCCGACAACTATTCTAATGTCACATCGAGTATTTAGCACAAATTACAAGACGTAGCCATGGGATGTCAAGTAGAGCGCACAATAATTCTTTCGGAAAGCCTTTGTAGACCTCTGCAAGTGTTGTGTGGAATAAAATATCTGGCACTACATCTATCTACAAATGATAAAACAAAGTCAACCAATCCAAACCAGTTCACGAGAAGAAAATAAAACACCATAAAACTTCGATAGTGATTGGATCAGAAGAAACACCTAATTATCTAGTGCTCAAGAACCTGATTAAACGGGCATCAGAGTAAACATGTGACACAAAATTCGTTACCCTTGATGACGATAAATACTTGGGCCTTTGATCAAGGGGACTACCAACATTCGGTAAAATGTCTCGCTTGTTGGTAATATCGTTTCATGAAGGGTATCTCTTGCAACGCGAACCCGATGATCCCAGTGAGTAGATAGAAAAATATACTTCACCTTGAGGTACATCCTACGCCTGCCTTCCCTGATCTCGTGATCAGGTCAGTCATGAATGCCTTGCCAATAGGCCTACGCATTTGACCCCCGATAATCAGTAGCATCTATAATTGGTCAAGGTAATTTGTGTATTGTATTGTGATAAGTAATGTCCAGTTGATGTTAACTCTTGAAGATACTGCACTTCTTGAAATATGTAACTGGTTTGTGTCGACAGAATCTATCGGTTTATCCATGAACCACCAATGTTTTTCTTCTATAAAACTATTCGAAGTATAAATAGCCGAGTCACATGGTTGTAAAACTTCTGGAAGTGACTTAATGCTTTCAAGTCAAATTTACAGTTTTCATCTGAGAACGAATGACTGACTGCCCTTATATCTACTTTCTATATAGTAGAATGGGCCACTGCATCTGTTTGGTATAACAACAGACAGTCGGTCATCATTTGCAGCTGTTCTTATTTGATTTCTACATATCCCTCCTAACCAGTGGTTGGTGTTATTGTTTCATAGATAAGTCTTTCAGTCTCTGATACAATCTTCGCCGAATATTTGCAAGGTTTTAAAAGCTATAACCAGTTGCTATATTGACACTCTAACGAGATCAGTAAAATTCGTTCCGTAAAGTAGCCACATCGACTCAAACTATTAAAGTCAATTAGAATACTGATAGCATAATAATGAAAACCTGTTTGATTGATGCAAATATTTTCACAAAATACTTTGAACTTGTCATCATCTGTTCTATTAAAACATCGTATTGAGGTGATTTACTAAACTACCACAACCTTATTTTCAACAACTGAATGGAATATTATTAATCACACTAGACTCTGTAATCCTCAACTATGTATGGGCGATAAATACAGTTTAATATGAGATCTCATTCGAGAATCGACGTTTAAAGCCGCATAGCTGTTATTTTGTAACAGGTCCAAATCAAACAACCGCCTATCTACAAACTTCCACAGAGAGAATATTAGTCGTCTGCAAAATATTAATATCAAAGTGCAGGTTATTAAGGTCGGCTCTTCAAAACACTGACTGTTATTGTTAAAACGCGTAAAGAGTTAAGATGCGGATGAGCTCTTTTTGAAGTTAATTTCGACAAGTTAATGGTCAATGATGAGACTGCTTCGACTCTCGCTCCTTATATTCACATCTGAACAGACGAGTATTTTCGCAAGTGTTGCACGTAATTATCAAAAACGGTGCTCGTCTTAATGTACAGAGAGTGAGAGTAGTTATCGAATGAACTAATTCGAGATTACAACATCAGAATTATTCTATAGAATGATAATGTTATTACTCTAATTTTCTTGATTCGGTTGGTAAATCGATACTAATTCCACCATGCACAACGAGGGAAACGTACTGCAGTGAAGAAAAACTGCATAGGAAGCCAAACATAAGCAAACTTTACTAGCTTACCAATGATAATTAGCTTATATTTACATAAAATACTGATGCAATATGAAAATACCAACTGCCGTAAAGTTTAAACGCAACCAAGCTAAAATTTGTGTGAGTGCCATATGATAACATAATGTAGTGTTAGTACTAGGCTCTAAACAAGTTTATTCGTGTCAATCACTAGATTATATACTAATTAGTAAGAAATGTAATGTAATGTAGAAAGAAATGCAATTTTGACCTCGTATAGTATGGAAAATGTTCACTGCTAAAACCCGGAATAATATATACAATATATACATTGATTTTTATTAAGTCTGAGAACTGTAATGTTTGTTACAAAGTAGACATATAAAGTGAAACATAAATCTCCTTGTTCTTAACTTTTATTAAAATTTACATGTTTATTGTAGGATTTCTCCAGAAAACGATTTGTTTTGAACTAAAATTAGCTCTGAATAATGTCAAAATCTGTTAGTGGTAAACGTAAAACTAAAGGAAAGAAAACTAAAGCAAAGGACCCTGTGAATGAGGTATTAGAAAAAACACAGGAAGACGTAAAAAACTTGCGGGAAGAAGTAAGCAGAAAAATATTTATTGCAGAAAGTGCAGAAAATCGTCGCTATCAAGCACATACTGAGAAATTGGAGTCTGTAAGAAATTATAATGAATTGAAAAAGTCAACACAAAACCATACTGCTTTCCTAATCACAGAAAACGAAATAAAAGTAACCAATCTTCGAGATGAAATAGAGAAATTAACCACAAAACTAGATGAGGCCAATAAGTTAATTGAGATAAGAAATAATGAACTGAAAAATTTACGTCAAGAATTCCTAAATTGTAAGGCAGAAAAAGATTCGAAAATCAGCACATTAGAACAAAAATTAAAAGAACAAGCTGCATTATTTCGTGACGTTATGTCACAAGCGTTCAATCAACTAATTGAACAACTAAGTATCGACTATGAAAATGTTCATAATAACTACAAAATATTTTCTCAGCCTACAAATGATCTAATAGAATTGGAGTTTTTAAATCCACCGTTTTTAGATGAAGAATCTGTTGAATATATATAATTACCTATCTAGATATATACAGTGATGTAGGAATTTTCTCAACATATTCACAAGGATATTTTCTAATTAGCATTTGTGAATAATTTATGTAAAAATAATTCCTGTATAAAAAAGAAGCCACAATTCTGCTACGACAGTTATTTATTCTTTAATAAGACCCGTAAAAGGGAGGAATTGTATGAAACATAACTGCACTGTTTTGATAGATGTTAAACTATTTTCAATAGCGAAATATATTTGCTAATTAATTCTTGAAAAAACAGCTAGTCTGTGAAGTTGTTATTGGAAAAAATGCAACTCATCCAGAAATTACAGACTTTTTATATCAAACTAATAGCGGTACTAACCAGTGATTTAGCCTTTTATATTATTGGAAGATACATTTTCACAAGTAAGGAAGTGAAGTGTGAGAATATTTAACCAGGAGGTAAGGATGCACAATCATGAAGCCACTATTCCGAAATAAGATGGAGCCTTTACAGTTAACGATGTTGTTGAGATACCAATCTCAATTGGAACGAAGTGCAGATGAACTGTTTTTAAAAAACAGCAACTTAAAAAAGCAGATTACCTCAGGTAACCGCACTAACCATAAAAGATCTGTTGTACATAAAACTCGATGGTGTCAAGTGTTTTTGGCAGATAAGAGGCCATAAAAACCGTTACCGTTTCTAAACCATTAAGTAAAGATACTCCAGATAGAATAGGGGGATATACTGTGATTTTTATACAATGTACCAAAATAAAAGTGTAGTTAGGTCAATTTACAAAATATACTTTTATATCTTACTGATGACATTCTATAAGTACCTTTGAGGGAATTGTGTGAACATTTGTCACTTGAAGATCGATCTGATGACATTGGGTATGTAAAAACTTACTAACCCTAAGTGACAATATAGTCAGTCAGTCAGCTACAACGTAGGACCAGGCACATATGTGCATCGGTGCAGGTTGCCATACCTCATTAGCACAGCAAGATGAACAGCGGATTCATAGGAGTGGTTAGGTCAAAGGTTGCAATAAGGATATAGTATAAGAAGAAAGAATTAGTTCGTAGACAGAAAGAATGAAGTTATTTTAGTCTCTTAGTTTAAGGGAAGACAGGGAGTGTATACACCTACGCCATTGTGATCGATTCTGAGCCATGTCACCAAGAGTCTCAAACCATTGGTTACGAAAGTCACGCGGACCCCAACCAAGTAGTCTGCATCTACCAACATGGCTCAGACTAGAAGTTAGTGACTTCAGGCACTGATGCCACGTTTTGGTTTGGGTGCCCCTAACTTTCTTCCAACCATCCCCTACCCCGGTTAGCATTGCACGTCGTGGTAATCGGTGTTCAGGCATACGTAACACGTGGCCCAACCATCTCAGTCGATGAAGATTCATAACCTCATCAACTGATAGCAACTATTGGAAGGCAACAAACCAAGTGAAGTGGAAGATAGTCTATTGAAAGCATTATAACCTCCAAAAATTGGGTGCTCAGACACAGTTATTTATTCTTCAATTATGCATGTTAACGTAAGAATACATCGTTAACAATCATCGTTAGATACCAAACACGTCCCATCGCGTCTTCTTGTCCCTTACTAAACGTAGAGATATAATCATAAAAGCTCTCGTAAGCAAGCGTAAAGATTAGAATTTCAAGAGATGGATGAGATTAATCTCACTGTAAACATAAGATTAGTTGATTCCGCCAATATAAACATAAGCGTGGTTGTAAGAGGTTGGACACTGTTGAGGTAAGTCTTAATTTCGACCTGAATCCAGATACCGTCGTTCTATGTTATCCCGCAATTCCCAGAGAATTAAATTCAATTGGTTTATTTTGTGTCAGGTAGAGTAAAATTAAGAGCCGATTACAAATGTTAGTAGAACAGCGTATTCCAAACAACTAATGAAAGTAAAGAGGAACACAATAGCGAACCACTTAAAACAAGCATGAACTAAGTCAATATTCAATGGACAAATAAACTTAATGAAGGTGTATATTCATCAAGGGTTAGATTCAAATGTTTACAGAAACAGAAAATAAGGCAATGCAAACGCAAGTGTAGTTATTTTAAGCTTATGAAACCCACTCTAAAATACGTGCTTCATACTTAAAAAGCAGTTTTAAATGACACTATCTGTTACACCTACTCACCAAAAAAATAAAAGCGAAAGAAATAATTTATTTTTAATAGACACTCAATTTGTAATACAATTATAAATTAAAGCATTACATGAGCTACGCTAACTTACTGTTATACATATGACATAATTAAAAACGATTTTTTAAGATATGGAAACGGAAAAATTACGCATGTTAAAGAAGCTGATAAATAAACATTTATTCACAAGTACAAATATGTGTATCAATAATAGTACATGTACAGCGAAAATTAATTAATTAAGTCATAGACTTCGTCATTTCACATTTGCACAGAGATCCTCTTCGCTATATTGATTGTACCGATTACGAATCTAAATGAGTGTGAATAAATAAACATTTTAATAATTCACTCACGAAAGAGACTGTTACATTATTACAATAGGGGATTTTGTTATGGGTACAATAAACTTAAGTAATCAAATACATGTATTAAATACTTTAGGTTATGCACTACGTCTGTAAGGATGAAAGTATGTTAATTTAGTTCTGTCTTCAATAAAGGCGACACAAAGTAATGAACTATAATGCATAATAGATTTCATAAAGTTTCATATAAGTAACAGTTATGTAGTACAAAAATAACCAGTAATATTATACAAACTTCAACATTGATGGGCCGGCGAATAAGTAGCTGAACACTAGACTAGAAATGATGTCCCATACATCAAATCATTATTGTACTAAAATCTTAGGAGGAAGCACAGAATCTGACGGAAATTTCAACCGAGTTTTTCTGTATACTTACGTGTTTCACTTGTTGGTTTAGAATATCCAAATAGTAAACGAATTGTATGGCAAAGTCTTCTAAAACGTTTTAAGCAACAAGGCTAGTATGTTTGGGACATGTTTTTTGCCCTCTAAATGACTTCTGCTCCACGACTGGTTGGCGTCGAAGTTTAAACTAATGACAAGAAGTAAAGTGGTTGAATGTACTTATCGCTTCGCTTATCCTGTAGATCTTAATATTCCTGAGTGAGTTGGTGTATTTTAACTAATAATTTAAGAAAACTATTAAGCATTTGACTAAGATGTCTGTTATCAGGCTTAAGCTCATGTTCAGATAATACAATAACGCACATTCAGCTAAATTACGCAGTCACAAATAGTTAGTTTACTTACATCAAAATAAAATGTATCTGTTGAATTATCAGGATCAGGAATGAAAGGCATTTCTAAATCATGTAAATTATTCCAATCACCAACAGGTATTAACAAATCACTTGACTTTATTTGACTTGCAACTTGAAGTCTGTCTGTTTGATTATAGGATAAGAGGCCACTAATTAAGTTTACAGCTGCTTGTGAAAGTTCACAGTTTTTTTGTAGTGATTCATTTATGTTAAAAGATGATCCACATGTAGTAGCAACAGGCCAGTGTATATCTGTGAACAAACCATAAAATTGAACAGTGAAAAACAATATAAAAAAGACTAGAAATATTGGCACACGGACGCAGGCAACATGCAGGATATCACTACTTCCGTAAACAGACCAAAACACTTAATGCTTCAAAAACAACTCAGTAATTGGATTGATATATTTAGCTTTCGGTTACACGTTTTCTGTGGGGACTATTGACACTTGTAGCTATCAAAACAAAGATAAGTAGGGTAGAGTCCGAGCATACAGCTTAACAACTGAAAGTTAAGTGCCTAGGTTATTAAATTACACCTTTACACGATCTACTAATCGATAGTCCTACCGAACGTAGAAAGAAACCACTTTAATCCTCAATAGTTCGACGCGATAACTTGGAAAAGGAAAAAACAACACCATAATACGGACAGTAAACTGGTGAAAGATGCTAACTGTAGATAACCGACAGTAGATTTATGATTATTTGTAGTGGTGAAATTCTACTCACTTCTTATTTCGATATTGTAGTGACTGATAGTTTCTTCTACTCATTTCATAATTCACCTGATCTGACAATCTCACACACAATATAATAGAATTATTCATCAATTTTAGTAAGATTATTAAATACAGTCCAGTAATAAATGATATTAGTCATATTTATTTCATGGAAGTCCCAACCGTAGCTCTTAGGTATAGCATTCTTAATCCAGGAGATTGGATCGAAGGGCAGAACACTTTAGGGATCGGTCAACTGGCCTTCAGCCACACTTCGGTTTCCCACGATCTCCAGTCAACCTGCATGGGAAGTTAATGTAGGTCCTTCGACTCTTTACGATGTTGAAAAAGCTATAGGAAATCTGGAGCGAGGGAGAGCAGCAGGCCCTGACAGGTTTACTCCTGAGATTTTTAAGGATGGTGGTCCAGTATTAACAATCAGATTAACCGAGGTCTTAGGTAGAATTTGGGAAGTGGAAGTAATCCTATCTGACTGGTCTCAATCACTGATTGTGCCAGTCTATAAGAAAGGAAAAAAATTCTCTTGTGACAATCACAGAGGAATCAGTTTGACTAATATAGTGTCTAAAATGTTAGCTTCAATAATACTTCGACGCCTAACTAAAGCTCGTGAATAGCAGACTAGAGAAAACCAGGCTGATTTCGACCTGGACATGATTGTATAGACCAGATATTCACATTACGTCAGGTTCTAGAACACAGACACACATTCGGACGCCCCACAACCGTAGTATTTCTCGACCTTAAGGAGGCATTCGCCTCTGTTGATCGTGAGGTTCTATGACAGTGTTTGTCACTGAAAGGAGTACTAAGGAAGTACATTAACCTTGTAAAGGCTCTCTACTCGAACACAACTGGTCGAGTGAGAGCTTATGGCGAACTGTCATCAGAATTGATTACCTCAAGTGGTGTTCGTCAGGGCTGTCCACTCTCCCCATTCTTGTTCAACTTTGTCATTGACGTACTTTTAGAGATAACACACTCCTCATCTAAATTTCCAGGGGTTGAACTTCTACCAGGAGGTTCACTTGTTGACTTAGAATATGCAGATGACATAGTTTTATTTGGTGAAGACGCTGACAAAATGCAGAGTCTTCTGACCACTCTAAGCAACAATGCAAGCATGTTCGGGATGCGATTCTCTCCCTCGAAATGCAAAATGTTGCTTCAGGATTGGGCTACATCGACACCCGAACTAGTGATAGGGAGTGAAGTAGTTGAGTGTGTCGACCGCTTCACTTATCTTGGAAGTCTCATCAGCCCTTGTGGTCTGGTGTGTGACGAAATTTCAGCACGGATACAGAAGGCTCGACTAGCTTTTGCCAACTTGCGTCATTTATGGCGTAGGCGAGATATCCGTCTATCAACCAAAGGATGTGTTTACTGCGCAGCAGTTCGTTCCGTCCTACTTTATGGCAGTGAAACATGGCCGGTAAGAGTAGAGGATATCCGTAGGTTACTAGTATTTGATCATAGGTGTCTTCGAAATATTGCTCGTATATCCTGGGACTATCGAGTAAGTAATGCAGTTGTTAGGAAACGGGTATTAGGTAAGGATGGCAAATCAATTGATGACGTAGTGAAACTTCATCAGTTGAGATGGCTGGGACACGTGTTACGTATGTCCGACCACCGACTGCCTCGACGTGCTATGTTCAATGGTATAGGAGTAGGTTGAAAGAAAGCTAGGAGCGGCAAGACCAAAACATGGCATAGGTCCATGAAGTCACTGACAAGTGGACTGAGTCATGTTGGTAGGTGTAGACTACCTGGTTGGGGACCGCGAGATGATAGCAACCGATGGTTAGAGACCCTGAATGACATGGCTCAAAATGGTTTACGATGGCACAGGTGCATCCACTCTCTGTGTTCTCTCAAATTCTAATCTTCTGAATTCTTCATGTCCCTTTTTTCCTCTTTTTCCAAATTTATTTCACTGGATTATACTCCTTAAATAACATCTCCAAACCCTAATCTTCCCGATTACTGCTTATACTCTTATTACATCTACCACTACGGGATTTGAATGGACAGCTGCATCTCTGTGCTAATAAGGTGTGGCAACTCGAACTGATGTACGTACGTACGAAGTTTTACTTTGTTACTGACCGACTGATTTCATGGAAGTATATTTATCCTGATGAGGAAGTATCGTTTACTGTACATAATTAAATTCTAAATCTCTATTCTTTGAGTATTGGTTCCTTTAATTCTTCAGTTTTGATAGTAGTAGAATCTGACATTAATCACTTATATCATATGATTAAATGTAATGCGTATTGTACAGTAACTATCTGATCAACTATAGAGACCACAGATGCCTTAGAAATATTGCTGGCACCTGCTGGGATCACCGGGTAAGTAATAGTGAGGTTAGACGCAGGGTATTAGGGAATGATGGTAAATCAGTTGATGAGGTTATGAATCTTCATCGACTGAGATGGTTGGGCCACGTGTTACGTATGCCTGAACACCGATTACCACGACGTGCAATGCTAACCGGTGTCGGAGATGGTTGGAAGAAAGTTAGGGGCACCCAAACCAAAACGTGGCATCAGTGCCTGAAGTCACTAACTTCTAGTCTGAGCCATGTTGGTAGATGCAGACTACTTGGTTGGGGTCCGCGTGACTTTCGTAACCAATGGTTTGAGACTCTTGGTGACATGGCTCAGAATCGATCACAATGGCGTAGGTGTATACACTCTTTGTCTTTCCTAAAACTAAGAGATTGAAATCACTTCATATCTTTCTTTCTTCTAACTAATTCTTTCTTCCTATACTATATTCTTATATGCAATCTTTCTCCTATATATTACCACCTTTGACCTAACCACTGCTATGAATCCGGTGTTCATCTTGCTGTGCTAATGAGGTATGGCAACCTGGACCGATGCATATATGTGCCTGGTCCTACGTTGTAGCTGACTGACTGACTGACAACTATAGAGACTCGAGTAATCAATTCAAAAAGCTAAATATAAAAAATTATTTGACCATCGCGTATGCTATTAAAAAATTTGTGTAGGAAAATGATCAGAATGAACCTTATCGCTAATAACGGAAATTTATAGGACATTCATGTAGATATAACATGTTCAACATCTTAATTTATTTAGCACATATCAAACCAATTCAGTCAAAACTGTATCTACGTACTGCAGTGGCGGCCTATCGGTCGATGCGATCGGGTTTTGACCAATACAGTTACAGGTTAAACCCTGTTCCACTTAGTCTGGTTCGGGCAGCCGGATAGTACCACTTATATGACTCGAAGGCCACTAAATTAACAAATACTTCACAACTTTATTTATTATTAAACAAAATACTAAGGATTTTTGCATAAAAATAAGAAATAAAAACCTGCTAATCAAAACCACTGCTGAAACATACCTAAACTTAGAATATTGTGAAACACATTTTCTACAGTTTCATCTGCAAATGGAGTTACACCAACTAACATTTCAAATAATATAACACCTAAAGCCCACCAATCGACAGCTGGACTATCGCATGCACTTTTAGAATTAGGATGAAGTAATAATTCTGGTGCCAAATATTCCGGAGTACCTAACAAGTGACTAGATAAGCTCTCTAGATTTGATATATTTTCAAGTGATTCTGTAGTAACTTGAAGTGGATTAATTGCTGGTGTACTATTCAACGAAGTGATCAGTTTCTTGTCGAACCGCTGACGTTTACAAGTTGAATTTATATGCATGGAACATAAAGGACTAGAATAAAGCAATGTTTGAGCAGGAAGATTACTTTCTGATTCGATTGGGTGGAAATTCCGAGTTAAATGTTTGCTATTTTTCTAAAACAAAGTTTTAATTTTATTAAATCAGATAACAAAAATGGTTTCAAACAAATAACAAAATTACCGATCAAAAACATAACATTGGAATATGCCTTCCTGGTAAGTGATCAATACATAATAGTTAAGATCCCAAAAAAATTCGTTAAACTACTTCACAGTACAATAAAAAAGATGGACTAAAACAACCTGAAATAGTAATTAAACAACTTAATATGTGTTCTATCAACTTAGTATTACTTCATTTATATTACCTTTAAGAGTTATGTAAAATCTATCCCAATTTAGTCTTCAAAGAAGGTGTTCATTGTTTGTTTGTCGTTTATGTTGATGAATTGTCAACATCTTCAATACGTAAACTAACCAACCCTTTATCCACTAGAGATTATGAACTTAGATAATAACCCATATATTATAGAGGGAATATACGGGATTGAGACAAAAATAAATGTAGATAATTTTTATAAATTATAAACAGATGCAGGAGAACTTTTGGAAATGGTTTGACTTTCATGGTATTTTAGAACACTAAAAATGTACCGAACGACAACCATCATGGTCGTCTACTGCTGCAATAGTACACAAAATATAAATCATTCAAAATACAGATCATAGATATTACCCCAATGACTGGAAACCACAACTATAAAGATAACTAATTTGCCTTAATTCTCTAAAAATATCAACCTTTTTTTTACTTTATAACAACCTACTCTATGACCCTACAGATGACGTAAAAACTTTTACAAAGTGATGAATTGAGGAATGATTTGATTCATTAAGTGTATGAATCACGTGTAGAAAGTAATTTTTGGGAATTTTGAATGCTAGTGATGAAAAAAAACAATTTAAGTTGAACTGAGGTAGTTGGAAACCAACCTCTCCACAAATTTAACGAACCAATCTTTAGTTGGACATGGAACACAAGATGAATACAATGTGCACATTAGGAACAATCAATGGGGAGTATAACTTTGCTTTAGTGAAATTTTCTTAGGTCATAGTAATTACAATCTGATTATAACCTGATAATTCGAAAATAGTATATGGTTAGCTTTCAATTCCCTAGATAACGAAGGGATGATAACAAGGAACGAATTTTTATTTTACAGAAAGTTAAAACAACCAGTTAACAATTTAAAATCCACTTCCTATTCTCATAGTTTAAATAAATCTTTCGATACATTACGCAACAATATTATGGGACTATCACAAAGACTACATAAAGAATCACTTAGATTTTCATTGCAATTTTAGTGATATTTGGGGGAAAATTTCGTCCTTAATAATTTGATGCTACTATCTTGAAAGAACTAAATTTATTAGTTCACATATGCCATTGAAGAGAAGGCTGGAAATACAACCAGCTCATTATATTTTGCAAACATTGTCATTCATACTTTGCTTAAATTAAATTTTCAAAATGCAAAACAGGAAACAATGTGGAGCTTTAATTGAGATCATGAACCGATCAGTGTTAGACTACAAATGAGAACCTGGAATCACTGGACGGCCATTTAGTCCTAGTATAGGACTCTTCAGCACTGTGCATTCACGATCCCACACACGGGATTCGAACGAGAAACCTTCATTCTCACACTCAAGGGCTTAACCTCTAGGGTTCTGAGCCGGCATCCAACGGTGTTAATGTCTAACCTCAACCGAACCACAATACATTCTTATCGAAATTCGAGCCAAACTAAATAAACGAAAGATACTCACTTTAACTATAGAAGCAGGAGAATGATGAGGAAATTTTAAAGGTGTATTAAGTAACACTGGAGAAGTTATACAGTCATCCATAGATGGATTCGAGAGATCAATATCATTTAATAAATAATCGCCTAAAGAAAATGAAATAAAGGTGAGAAATGTTAAAAATTATATAACTTTTAAGAGTGAATACTCATCAATATTCGTAGGTCGAAATCTGAAAGCGCGAACGACGAAGGAATATCCACAATAAACTTTTGAGAACTGTGTTCGCCTGTCTGAAATTCAGTCATCAATAAGTTTAAGACAAGCTAACATGCATTTGTCAGTTTACGTGCTTCTGTGATATAAAGTACATATAGCGTACGATTTGTTTGCTCACAAAACGCACTTGCCAATACTATCATGCATGACTGACTTGAAATGAACGAAGAAAAACGAAAAGCAGCTCTATTACAGACTACTCTGACCGCGAAGAATGCAAATAACTTAATTATAATATCATTTTAGTTTTTAATCATTTAAACATATTTGTCTTTTTAATGCAAAGAATCAGCCTATAAACTTATTCCTAGCAAATAATGAACTTTTGCCCCTAACAGAAGACTACTGATACTCTAGAAACAGTTCCAAAGACTGGAAGTGGTAGTGGTATGTATCAATCACTTGTAGAAAGACCTTTCGATCCTTAGTATTCAAATGACATAGTCTTCTGGTGAAATGAGACATAAGCAATCTAAACTGCACCTAATCAGAAACCGTAACCGTAGCACGTATTCTAAGCCTTCGAAATGTAAAGCACTTCTCCAAGACTGACAGAAACTTGTGTCCGCACTTTCTCATTTGTAGTGAACCGGTAGAAGCAGTTGGAAAGTTTGTTTATACAGATAGCTGTGTGAGTGCTGGTGGTGGTATAACAGATGAAGTTAATTTACGTATAATGAAAGCCAATACGAGCCATCTTTAGAGTCGTTATGATGTCAGTTTGGTTGTAAATGGTCGGGTTTATGACGGATCAGTGAGAGTAATTTTCCCCTATGCTTTCAAAACTTGGTCTCGTCAATTTGATGATGTTCAATGCCTCTATGTTTGGTCATCATTGTCTCCAAAGAATTCCTAACATACAGTGACGATACTGTTGGTAATACTAAGGTGTATCACCATCTTCAAACACCGACAATGTTGAATTGGTCATGGTTTACGAACGTCATCCTAGAACTTACGACATTCAGTGATTACGTCGAATAGCCAAAACTCCTTTTTTTTCTTTAAACGGAACTCAACAGTGATTAAACACAAAACAATAAATATTTACACATGATTACTTTATGTCATACAACAATATAATTTAACGGTTATGGAGAATAATCACATTTTCACTACTATATGCTTACAAACTAAGATAATTCATATTTTTTTACAACCGAAAAAAGTTCGTGATTGTACACACAGAAAACTAATAGTAAAAAAGATATAATAGACCAAATAAACGAAAAGATAAACGTACCACTTGTACCTAAACAGTGGGATAACGGTGAATGACGGAACAGGCTCAATCTGGCTTTTTCAACTGGAGACAATATATTTTCCGTCGAAGTATTTCGCCTGGAAGATGAATGAGGGAAAACCAAATCAGGGAATCGGTTAGTGACCTAATAAACTGTTATGTACTGTTAAACGAATTTCAAACATGGTTATTACACAACTTGTTGAGGAAAACAGGACAATGTCTCCTACAAAGGATTTTTTGCCTAGCAAATACAGTAGAAAATCATAACATGAAATAAACATTCATGAGACGCGTGAATAATACTAGACGACCGTATATACACTTCTATACTAAGCTTATCAAGCGGGTAGTTACATATCAAGAATACCCTTTAATTTGTTTTCGAAAATTTTCTTATTGTCGATTCGTAAGATTACCGTGCAATTATTAGCCTCGAATTCTTGTCGCTTTACCCTTTGCAACCTACAGTTTTAGTACATCAGCGTAATATATATGTACTTATACAGCCGTTCCACCTTTTTTCTGAAAGGTACAAGTTCAACTGAGACGTTAGTTGCAGATTGCAACTTGTTAATGTTTAGAGGTGAGCAGACATCGATTTAACTACGTTCCGGTGAACACGACCATCTCTTCATTCGTGTGTAGCGATTATCCGTCACGCTGTCATGTTTATCAAAATCCTACTATATTACCTGAAAACTCCGAAAGACATTTCCGTATGTGTAAATTATTCACACATAAACCAACACTAGATAAAATAAACACGTAGAAATAACACAAGCACTCACTTTAAATCATTTCTATCAGTCAGATTACATGGAGAGGAGTTCAAAACCAAATCCTGAATATCTCTATTTAAAGAAGAAATTTCCAAACACGAAGCTGTATTTCTAAGCATTTTTTCCACATTCTGACATTCCTGATTGTGATATGATGGCTTCAAAATTACTGATGTTTTTGATTTGTCAATTGCTAAACTATGAGTAGCAGATAAGTCAGAAGTTGGTCCATTTTTCGGAAGTGGATCGTAGTTATGACGTTGACGGTGACATAATTTATAGCCAGTTCTAAGAGAATTAACTCGACTGGAGTAAGACATCTGTTATGATTGAATATTATGTTAAATAGTAAGCAATTAAGAGTATATTTAAAAATATGATAGGTTGTACTAAAAACCTAAACAATATAATCGATTTTAATGAGAAGGGAGTGGAGCAGAATTTATATATAAAAAACTCGTTTTACATTTACGTCATATGAACATCGACTTAATCTGACAGATTATGCATATGTTGTAAGGGATGATTTAACTATAACGTAAAAACTTTCGAAGCTATTTTGCTACGGTTTTATTTACACATACTGATTGCGTTTTTACTAAATATTTTGGTTTTATTTTCCACTACCCTAATTCTAGGCTTTTGTTTGGACTGCAATTTGTTGCTGTAGCATCTCTCACTTACCTAGCATTCCGTTTTCCCATCATTGATGTCGTTGTTTCATGTTTATGCTGTTACCCAATTGGTCTACTGTATGGTCTGGTCTTGTACGTATATAAATGAATGTCTGAAATATAATAATGATCCTGGACTGGTGAGCATTGCTTTTGCGTCCCTCTACGTTTGGGGCTAATTAGTATTGAGCCAACCATCAGGCATAGAGTATCAGTCTCCCAAATGCTTGTTGCGTATTGGTTACTTAAGCTCGTCTACGCGTATTGGTTGATTGTAGGACGTAACAGTTGACAACCTAGGCCATGAGACAAATATACTTAAAGGGATAGTTGTATTAAAGCATCACCCTTTGATTTGCCATGATTCCCAGAATAGGGTATTAGATACCATTAAGGGATATGACTAGGACCGTGATGATTGTGCTCGGTAAGATGGACCTTCTGATTGAATATAATAAATTTTGGTTGTCTTATCACACAAAATGCATCCTTTAATATTGATCTTTCTTATTTTCATTGAGTGATTTGGTGTTCCCTGTTTTTCTCTGATACAAATAAATGAATATCCCAGAACTGCTTCGAAGACACCCATGGTCAAACACTTATCACATACACGGGGTCTCTACTTTGGCAAACAGATGAATATCTTACTTGCAACACAGATGAAAAACGTGGGAAACACCAAGTGGATAATTTTATACCTGTCCTTCAAATTAATTATTCAAGGACATACTAGAGTTTGTTATGCCCTGAAGATGAATGAGTGAAGTTGAAAATAAATATTTTTTTTGCAATATTTGAATGAAAATACGTCGATCGATAGCAAGTATAGGAAATTGAGAAAAACAAAATGCAGCGACAATTCACCTGTAGCTCATCTGAATGGATTTCCGATGTTTCAAAATTTTGAGAACACCTGGCATGCGATTTTCTGGATATTGGCGACCAATGAATCAAATGTTGACGAAAGTGAGATTTCCATGATTTATTACCAAAATCACTAAAACTTCTGAATCGTTGTAAATCACAGATATGTTGTCCATCGAAAAATGCTACAGACCCAAAACAAGGTTCTGAAGAGGATTTATGCAATGAATTTGAAACATCACAATTAGTAAAGTAATTCTAAAAAGAAAAAAATCATGTAGATTGATCAATAAGAATATCCTTATGTACTTGTAGCTAAAAACAAAACTTCAAATCACATTAGATCAGTATGTTTTCGACAACGAAATTATTTTGAATGACCACTAGTTTTCCAAGATGGATGATCCCCTGGAGTACATTCAGTAACTTATATCCTCCGCTCTATTTCTAAAACGGTGCGAGCAAGCAGATCTGATTCACCACCCCAAGTATTTCACATTAAAAATTCATGTCAAACAATCGCTAATATTCATACAAGGTGTTCATAAGATCTTGCATGTTTCCAGCACAGATAGGCGCCAATCGATAAAAGGTTGGTGGTAATGAGAATCAGCTCTATCTGTGGGTTTATAATAAAACTTTTCCAGTAAACTGTCAGCATACAACATCAGATAAATAAAAATATGTTTGTTATGAAGGATGAATGAACTATCGACTGCCTAAATAAAATAAAGGAGTGCTGATCGATCGTTGATTTAGAGCATAGACAAGTACTCCAAGATTGCTTCTAACTACTTACGATACTCTTGAATATCTGGCAGTGACAGACGCTAATTCATTATGATCCCATAGATATAAAGTTGAAACAGGTGGTCATTATAATAAATTACAAGCAAAAACCACCATTTTCACTTCACTAGCACGACATTTAAAAAATAACTCAAAAAATGCAGTTGCACATGGAATCGCCTAAGAACTTGTTTAGTGAATTTACTGGCCGATACAATCCTATCCATAAAACTCAGACCCCACAGTTCTAGTAATCGGAAGATGAGAAAATGAATATCATAGATACGTAGAAAGCATGTCAGTTTCTTATAAAATCAATCACCAAAACCGTGAACAGACAGCCAACAACTAGGATCTATTTCAAAAGTTTTACGCCTAAAGTATATATATATTAGAAACAGTATACTATTATGATTCGGAAATTCAGAGACATTGATGAAGATTGTATTCCATTCAAAATGGAGTTTGGGATGTTTGAGATTTCAACATCCTCTAAACTGACAGTGCAATACTGTTTTGTACTGTGCATTTCGTGATTTCATTTCCCGTTTTGAACCATGTTCACAATGTCTAGTTTACCACCACTAGTGGTATTACCATTTTCACAACCTGACCTTCAATCTAGTTACTTTACTTTTTCTATGCTGCAGTGAAGTGTGATAACTTCTACTGACACTATTCCTAGATTGTTTGTGACTGACTGCTAGTAGTGAAGTCTTGATATTTCACAAGCTCAAACTGTTCGTGACGAAGACAAGGTGGAGCATTGCCGAAGATACGAAAATGAAGCAAGTTAGATATTTGTCCGTGACTCAATAATTGAAATCAAAAAGCTCCGAATGACTGTTCTGCTTGAGCTAAATGCTACAAGAAAAAGGAGTGTGGACATTTTTCGTGAGTCACTGACCTTATTCAAAATCAACCAGCAGCAATAGCACAGCGAGATGGAATTTTCAGGGAAACTCTTCGAGTAGTAGAAATAGTAGCAGTATTAGTGGTAATAGAGATTGGGGGTCGAACATACGACTCGGGAATAGAAGTGAATTACTGGAATAAAAAGTTTCTATGGTACTCAGAAACTTGAGATCCAAGGAAAAACTAGGAGTAAATGCACGTGCGGCATTGTAAATGGTTCTCCAACTATCCGTTACCATCATGGAGAGGATCCCAGCCAAATAGTCTTCACAAACTTACATAGTTTAACCCGACAGTTAGTGGTCTCATGGGCTGTAGCCAGATCTTGGTTTAACCACCCCTAGTTTTCTTCTAGACTACTCCTACACCAGACGTCACCCATCGAGATAGTCGATGGTTGGGCAAACCTAATACATGTTGTGACCATCTCAGTCGATGAAGATTCACTATCCCGTTAACGGATTCATCATACTTACCTATTACTCTGCGTCTAACCTCAGAATTGCTGACTCGATAGTCGTAAAATACACGAGAAATAATTCCAACAAACCTATAATCGAATAGTAGTAACCCAAGAACATCCTCCCCGCCTAATTTCTATGGTTCACATCCATAAAGTAGAACGAAGCAAGCTGTTGCGCAGTGAACGTGTCCTGTAGTTTTCAGACGAATATCTTGTCTACGCCACAAGTGATGCAAGTTGATGAAATACAACCGAGCCCTTTGAATCGATGCAGACATTTTACGAGCCCTAATTAAGTGTTGGACAATTATTGAGGTCCATATTTTAAACGAAATGTCAGTCAAACTGTTTTCTCTGTGATCAGCAAAAGAGGATTTTGCCTTCTATCACAGACTGAAATGATCAGAGATTGAGACTAATTAGATGAGATTAGGTCTAGACCCCAGACTCTAGCTAATATCTTCGGCAATCTAATAGCCAAAACTGGGTCGTTGTCCTTAAAAATTGATGTCAAGTAGGGAATTATGAGTTTGTGGTCTATTTATTCAACACAGTATTCATGAGTACTGTTTAAATACAGGTACAAGAAACAAGAAAGCATCTAATTATATGTTTCCGCGAGTTACTTTTTTATTTATTACTTATTTGAGCACGTAAATATTGTTACAAAAGAGCACTGAATACGTACACGCCACATAAGTCACTTGATTTGTGTGTGGGCTGAGATACTGCCCGGCGGCAGAGACCGAAGCATGTGGTTTCCTTAGGGGATCACACCCGGAGCCTTCGACCTAAAGATCTAATCCACAAGGCAGTGATCAATGACTGGTTCATACGCCATTTGTTCCCTCAGGATGCTGGAGCCCATGTGCACCATTGGTTTGGAATCAGGGTTTTCCAGCTCCTTTAGGTAGACCCTCAGTGTCCACCAACCCGATTAAAGCACCGGACATTCGCTTTTCGTCTTCTCATTTTCGTAAACAACACCCTCGCCACGAGAAGGCAGTGAGTAGGACTTCCCTGGCAGTGGCTGTATACATGTGGCATTGTGAGAGCATTTCGAGAGGGAGAGCGGACTCTTCCCACACTCGACCGTACCAGGGCATTTGGGGGATTGTTTTATTAGCTACACAAACGAATTAAAATTGACTTGTAAGGGGGCTTTGGGAGATTGTTGAGTGGTATTAAGATCAAGAACCCACCCGGTTTACGGGGCCATCAAAAAGCTGGAAGCACTTGGGAGCTGTTTCGTCCTTCCATGAGATCCCTCAGCAATGCATACCCACGAACCCACGTGGGGTCAAAAATTATTTAGTAAATATCACTCTCAAGAAAAATCGCCAAAAAGTAGATGAGAACTGTATGAGATTAAAGGAAATATTACTGTTCGGATATACATCGGCAGGTGTACAGAATAATATTTAAATGGTCCTTGACATGAAAACTATGGCGACGAGTTTTTCTAACATGGCATAAAAAGTAACAAGAAATGTATCGCGTCCATGATTTGTCCGTTCAATATATAAACGAGACACTAAATCCTTTTAAAAGATTAACGAAAGTAGTATGACCAGGTAAATAAGGGAAAAAATTAGAAGTGCTTGGTTGATGGTCAAAGCTAAACGACATGGATTCGGTCGAGTTCCCATCGTTTAAGTGCACTTAAGTTTATACACTTAGCATGTGACAGAGATTATGGTCTTCATTGGCTGGAACCAAACGTTGTTAGGTGATTAAAACCAAATTCAAGGACTACAGAACATTAAAACTAACACTCCTATAACTAGCTTGAGAACCAGTGTTACAATGAATCACACATTTATGTGATTTATTTCAGTATTCAGATACCATCTGATCAAATTAAAGGAGACGAATTATAGCTCTGACGACATACGGAACCACAATATTAATCAACGAAAGTTAGACGACATAAATAAAATATTACAAATAACGCTACTTTTGCTGAAGATAAACACTGGGGGGAGAAACACGTTTTGGCATCGTCATCGCGCGAAGTCAATAAGCGTTCCTCCAGAACCTCATGAGTTTTATGTAGGATAGGTGTATCTGTCTAAAAAGCACAATAAATAAATTAGTTGTACGTGGAAATAGTTAAATTCGAAGTTTACGAAACTCTACAAAGCCGAGTGCTTTCAAATACACTCTGCTCTAAAAATTAAATTCTGTTGGCAGACACAAACATAATAACGTAACACTGCAATTTTTATATTTATTCAGACACAATCCTTGTGTTTTATTTCTTATTTTGATGAGCCTTTTTAACTCTTTATTTATATGCGCCCTTATGTCTAAAAAAACACAATATTTATTCATTCTTACTGTAAACACTTTCAGAGATGTATTTTACCATGCTCAGTCTATCACGAGACTAAATAATAGTAACTCATGTGATTTTTAATTCTTGTACAAGACATTAACAGTACGATGACAGACTCGAACGGGGAGTATAAAATCTAATGATTTGTGGAGTAGATTGTCGAAATAACTCAGATAACTCAAGGAAACTATTATCAAGAGATCAGGATTTTGATAGGTTTGAAGCTATCACGAGTTCGATTAATCTGCAAACGAGAACAAAGACTCAGTGACCAAAGACCAGTAAGCTAGCTGTTTGATGCGTCCCAGCCCCGCTAACTAGAAGGAGAAGTCCAAGCTTGGAATGGGAAAGTATATTCTGCAAACAGCCAAAAACGAGCGATCCCACAAACACTATTCAAAACGTATATATATATATATATATATATATATATATATATATATATATATATATATATATATATATATATCAATTATATGTATATAATCGATATTGCCATGGAAGTTTTTCTAAACATTGAGTCGATAAGTTAATCAATCGACTGCCATTGGAATATTTAAAAATTTAATTGCTAAGAATAGTTTAGTTAACTAACTATTATACGGTAAACTATACGTATAGTATTGGTCCACAAATGGATCCCAAAAATGACCACTCATTATTCTTATCGGGGCATAACAGATTTAGATGTTGTTTTACTGTTCGTTATCTAATTACAAGTCTAGTCGAAGATAATGGTATTTGTTCTTATAGTAGATTTATTTGAATGTTATTATTTTACTATTTATTTATTTCAACACAAAGATAATGGTACAAGGAGGCACCAAATACATATGCGCCACACAAATCTCATTCGATATGTGTGAGGGCTGTGATACTGACCGGGTGCCCAAACCGAAGTAGGTGGTTTTCTTAGGGGACCACTCCCCGAGCCTTCGACCTGAAGGTCTGATCCACAAGGCAGTGGAGCATCGTAAGGAGATGCAGTCCCATGGAAGCCGGTGACCAACAATTGGTTCATACGCTATTTGTTCCCTCAGGATGCTGGAGCCCATGTGCACCATTGGTTTGGAATCCGGTTAAAGCGCCGGACATTCGCTTTCCATCCTCTCATTTTCGTAAACAACACCCGCGCCACGAGAAGGCAGTGAGTAGGACTTCCCTGGCAGAAGCTATATACGCGTGGCCGTGTGAGAACATTTCGAGAGGGAGAGCGGAACCTCCCGACTCTCGGCCGTACCAGGGCATTTGGGGGCACCAGGGCATTTACTGCTTCTTAAGTGAACAAAACACAATTAACTCCCGAATACTTACGAAAGCCAGTTCAGTTGTCAGCGAGATAAGTTGGCCAGGAGTTCGGTAGTATTGAAAAGGTAACGGAACGACAGATGGTGTATTCAAAACGTCACTTGGCTGCAAGGCTATAAAAGTAAACACAAATTGAAGGACGGTAATATAATTGGGAAGTAAAACTCAAATAACACGGAAAAACCGAGAAAGCTTACCAAATATTCACAGATGGCTATTGGAGGACTTTTTTATGGAAGTTATGTAGCATCTCAGGAAAGTGATTTATTTCCGTCAAACAGTAAACCCGGAGAAATCAGAGATGACAACCGGACCCCACACATACACAGAGGGACACTGAAATGTTATAAAATACCCAACCAAGTTATAGCAGCACGTTTAGTGGACAGATCCCTTTTGACGAAGCAAAACAAGAGTAACAAGAACTGACACTCTATTGAGCAGAAGCAACACCGGTTTATACTTTCCGAAGAAATTAACCATAACTGATGACCCAGATATGTTAGAAATACAGATGTGAAGTGTATTACTAACGATTCCCACATGATGTGGATAAAAGACTTCTTAGTTGGGCGCCAACAAAGAGTAAGGGTGAACTCAAAGTTATCTAGCTGGGGAGCTGTGCTTAGTGGAGTGCCCCAGGGTACAGTTTTGGGGCCAGTGCTATTCCTCTGGTATGTGAATGACCTTCCTCGTCTCCTATCATCATCGGTCTTGCTATATGCTAACGATGTCAAGATATGGAGAACGATACGATGTAAGAGTGATAGCTTAGAACTTCAAAATGACCTGAAGAAGTTATCTGAATGGTCTCAAACCTGGCAGTTGCCGATAAATACTTCCAAGTGTGTTGTGATGCATAAAGGTCATCAAAGTACAGATACATGCACGATGAATAACACTGAGCTACCTGTCGTCCAGACATATAATGACTTAGGAGTTGTCGTTAGCCAAGACCTAAAGACTACTGCACACTGCCGTGCAATAGCCAAAGGTTTTAGAACTTTATGGTCAATACGTAGGGCTTTAAGTCATGTTGACGCCAAGACGTTTTTGACTTTGTATACAGTGTTCGTACGTCCTAAACTTGAGTACTGCATACAAGCGGCTAGTCCCTGCTTAAAAAAAGACAGCGAGCTTGTAGAAAAGGTTCCCCGATCGAAGCTGCTACCTTGACGCGGTGGTCGGGCTTGCCTATCGTGATGACCCAACCGAGCTATATTGGCTGGAACATATGTTCCTGCAGGTTCTACCATGCCAGGCAGGTCGATTGGCGAACGGTAAGACTAAAAGCAGCAACTCAAGGTCTGAGGGCGAAGTCGTACTGCTGACTGTAGAGAGGTGTGACAGCAGTAAGGTGTTTCCCTCGGACAACCAGCATGACAGCGATGCTGCCTTCCCACAAGGAGGGATGGGGTTAGAAAAGGTCGACCCTAAAAATGCACACCTCACCTTACCTCACGGATTTCCGTCTCCGGCGGTAAGGCCCTTTGAAGAACGGAGCTAACATGTCAAAAACCTTCCACAAAAAGGCCGTGCGCGACCGGCCTCAAGCAGTTGTCCCTTGGGCTCTGCGGTCACGCTCCCAGGTCGTCAAGACCAACACTAATCCAATTTCCTTTTCAGGTTCCTCAAGAAATACCCTTCCACGGTGTGGGCAGCCGGAAAGTGACATCAGCCCTCATACCCGTAACAGCACAAGAGACCAAGGTGGTCACATTCAAATCCTTCCTACACCTCCTAATACCTCTCTTATCTCCCCGACTAACCCTCCTCACGTCTCTTTATCACCTCGCACCGCTAGGGCAAACGATTCGAGTACGTGGAACGCCATTCCTGGTGTCCTGAAACCACGCTCCAAACTACACGTAGGAGCTTTTAACGTACGAACACTTTGCCAAATAGGACAGCAGGCTTCATTAGCTAAAACTTTAGAATCCCGCGCCATCGATGTGTGCTGCGTCTCCGAAACGCGCATACAGGATCCGATAGAAGACTGTCGCTCATTCTGGAGCACATGCTTAGATTCAGATCATGCTCTAGTGCGAGCGCGTATTTGCTTGCGTCTTACTGGACGTAGGAAAGACGCTGCAAGGAAACCTCTTAGGGGCCTACTTAATGATAGTCAAGCTAAGAGTATATTTCAGGAACAACTAGGAAAACAGTTAGGCAGCCATGTAAGTGATGCCCACCCCGATGCAGCATGGAATGATATCCGAAAAGCTGTGGAAACAGCAGTGATATCTGCTAGCAAGGTAAACCAGAAGGTTAGGGAGCAACACTGGATCTCACAAGCATCTATCTCACTGATAGATGCTTGGAAACTCATTCCACCTGGCTCTGAACATAATGAAGAGCGGAGTCAGCTTAAGCGCAAGCTGACAAGAAGTCTACGCAATGATCGCGAACAGTGGTGGGTAGCGAAAGCAAGAGAGATGGAAAAGGCAGCGGCAATAGGTAATAGCAGACAATTGTTTAGACTCGTTAAGGAAACCGGAATTAGGAACCCGACCGTTAGCGAAACAATCTCAGAGAAAGATGGACATATTATTCATTCTCAATCCAGGAGATTGGATCGAAGGGCAGAACACTTTAGGGATCGGTCAACTGGCCTTCAGCCACACTTCGGTTTCCCACGATCTCCAGTCAACCTGCATGGGAAGTTAATGTAGGTCCTCCGTCCCTTTACGAAGTTGAAAAAGCCATAGGAAATCTGAAACGAGGGAGAGCAGCAGGCCCTGACAGGTTTACTCCTGAGATTTTTAAGGATGGTGGTCCAGTATTAACAATCAGATTAACCGAGGTCTTAGGTAGAATTTGGGAACTGGACGTAATCCCATCTGACTGGTCTCAATCACTGATTGTGCCAGTCTATAAGAAAGGAAAAAAATTCTCTTGTGACAATCACAGAGGAATCAGTTTGACTAATATAGTGTCTAAAATATTAGCTTCAATAATACTTCGACGCCTAACTAAAGCTCGCGAATAGCAGACTAGAGAAAACCAGGCTGGTTTTCGACCTGGACGTGGTTGTATAGACCAGATATTCACACTACGTCAGGTTCTAGAACACAGACACACATTCGGACGCCCCACAACCGTAGTATTTCTCGACCTTAAGGAGGCATTCGCCTCTGTTGATCGTGAGGTTCTATGACAGTGTTTGTCACTGAAAGGAGTACTAAGGAAGTACATTAACCTTGTAAAGGCTCTCTACTCGAACACAACTGGTCGAGTGAGAGCTTATGGCGAACTGTCATCAGAATTGATTACCTCAAGTGGTGTTCGTCAGGGCTGTCCACTCTCCCCATTCTTGTTCAACTTTGTCATTGACGTACTTTTAGAGATAACACACTCCTCATCTAAATTTCCAGGGGTTGAACTTCTACCAGGAGGTTCACTTGTTGACTTAGAATATGCAGATGACATAGTTTTATTTGGTGAAGACGCTGACAAAATGCACAGTCTTCTGACCACTCTAAGCAACAATGCAAGCATGTTCGGGATGCGATTCTCTCCCTCGAAATGCAAAATGTTGCTTCAGGATTGGGCTACATCGACACCCGAACTAGTGATAGGGAGTGAAGTAGTTGAGTGTGTCGACCGCTTCACTTATCTTGGAAGTCTCATCAGCCCTTGTGGTCTGGTGTGTGACGAAATTTCAGCACGGATACAGAAGGCTCGACTAGCTTTTGCCAACTTGCGTCATTTATGGCGTAGGCGAGATATCCGCCTATCAACCAAAGGATGTGTTTACTGCGCAGCAGTTCGTTCCGTCCTACTTTATGGCAGTGAAACATGGCCGGTAAGAGTAGAGGATATCCGTAGGTTACTAGTATTTGATCATAGGTGTCTTCGAAATATTGCTCGTATATCCTGGGACTATCGAGTAAGTAATGCAGTTGTTAGGAAACGGGTATTAGGTAAGGATGGCAAATCAATTGATGACGTAGTGAAACTTCATCAGTTGAGATGGCTGGGACACGTGTTACGTATGTCCGACCACCGACTGCCTCGACGTGCTATGTTCAATGGTATAGGAGTAGGTTGAAAGAAAGCTAGGAGCGGCAAGACCAAAACATGGCATAGGTCCATGAAGTCACTGACAAGTGGACTGAGTCATGTTGGTAGGTGTAGACTACCTGGTTGGGGACCGCGAGATGATAGCAACCGATGGTTAGAGACCCTGAATGACATGGCTCAAAATCGTTTGCAATGGTGCAGGTGCATCCACTCTCTGTGTTCTCTCAAATTCTAATCTTCTGAATTCTTCATGTCCCTTTTTTCCTCTTTTTCCAAATTTATTTCACTGGATTATACTCTTTAAATAACATCTCCAAACCCTAATCTTCCCGATTACTGCTTATACTCTTATTACATCTACCACTACGGGATTTGAATCGACAAGTGCATCTCTGTGCTAATGTGGTGTGGCAACTCGAACTGATGTACGTACGTACGAAGTTCTACGTTGTTACTGACTGACTGACTGAGAAAAGGTTCAGAGAACGGCGACTAAGCTGATTCCCGGAATAGCGAAGCTTCCGTATGAAGCTTGACTGGCCAAGCTGAACCTTTTCCCGTTGTCATATCGCAGAACTAGAGGCGACTTGATTACAGTCTTCAAATTGCTGATTGATAAATTTGCACCTGACATGCCCTCATTTTTCTTGTCTTCCAAAACAGAGAATTTGCGAGGACACTCCAAAAAAGTTCATAAGCCTAGAACAAATTACTTGTCAGCTGACAATCGACTTTCCCACCAAATCATCAACGAGTGGAATTCATTACCTCAGCGCGTGGTTGAGGCTCCATCCGTCGACTCTTTCAAAAGAAAGTTGGATCAACTGAGAGACCACCATTGCCAGGACTAACACAGGCCATTAAGCCTTCTGTCGTTTAAAAACTGAAACTGAATGTCCGTTCACGAAAGATTTCCCTTTGCCATAACGTTTTGGTGTATACTTATTAAAGTATAAAACATTTGGAAAAACTAATAACTTATATGAGCTAAATTCGATGAAAGAGACATTACCTCAGGAGAGATAACAACAGAAAAAGGCTGCCTCCTATCATGATGACATATTTACCATTCAATGAATAATGCTTGACTGTATTGAGACCCTAACTTTCCGATATTTCATCGACTGCTACATTTTTTGCAAATTTAATGTACTGTTATGGGCCTCTCCATAAAATAAATTTTGTGAAATTATGATGAAAATGCTCTCAAAACAGCGTTGATTTATTTACGAAAATCAGACATGCATCCAGTAGTTGGTTTCCGTTTCACTCTAAGCCTGTTCAAGTAATTATTAGACGTAAGATTTCTCTAATACGTTAGATTATTATTCGTATATGTTTACAGAAAATTTGACTAGGATTAAGTATAGATCCAAAACTTGAGGATGAAAACTGTTTTAAAGTAAACTTATTAGAAGTAGTGACTTCTAACAAAGAATTTCGAAGGATCAAAGCAGTTATTGAGAAAATCTTGCAAATGAGACAAGTTTAGAAAACTTACGACGCTTCCATGCTATAGTAGACAACCCAAAATCCGTCAGCTTTAAATGTCCTTTGGAGTCAATAAGTATATTATCCGGTTTAAGATCACGGTGGATTATTCCATGTGTATGAAGATATTCCAAGGCTATTGCAATTTCAACAGTATAGACAGCAGCGTGAGATTCTTGAAGACAGCCCATAACCAGCAAAAGTGACTTAAGGTCACCACCGACGAGGTATTCCATAACCTGCAATTTCAGACTATGATAATAATGACTACTACCAAATATATGTGACTGGTGGTTTGCAAACAGTAGTACAGATGGACGATGTATGGACATTTACTAACTGCAAGAGCATTTCGCTCACAAGTAACTGCGGAGTAGTATTGATTAACAATCTACTTACCTTTCTCTACAAGATTTTTTTTCCTCATTTCTTCTTTAGACATTATTTTTATTGCGTATATAAGATCAAAATTGTTTGCCTTAGCTCCTAAAAACACTTTTCTTTCAAGATAACACAGAAAAAAATCCAGTACCCAAAAGCACCTTTGCTTATAGGTTTTATCATTACGAAATCATTTATAGAAGGAGCCGAACTGTTTTTAGACATCTTTGGAACGCCCGCGCGACCTTTTGATGTGCATTTCCAAGTATTATGAACAACGATTTACAATGCCCAATGGTTATACTGATCATGAGAGGAATAAGAGAGACGTTGGCTTACCTAACTTCTTTTTCTTATTACAATGAATCACTTATAGCTCAGGTAGGAACCTAGGTATATAAAATCAGTACAAACAGATGAAGTATCAGTGAGTCACTCCGACTCATGAATTCAACCTGTGAAAACTCTGAGATATGTTGAATTTTTAAGAAAATATCAACGTTTCTTTCGGAAAGCTTGATGAAAAGTATTCCAACCCCCAAATATTGTGGGATTTCAAGTCCTGATTGCTGGTAAGGAATAGGATATTTGCTTATATAGCATGTAACAGAATATTCTGTTACGTTTGACTTGTAACCAGTGAATGTTCAGTTTATAGTATCTGTTACATTGATGTAAATGTCCCAGCAGATTTATGAGGAACTTAGTATTCTCCCGGATCAATGTAAAATAATCTCTCACCCTTCTATATCCCAGTGAGTAAAAATCCATTATTCTTAGGGGGTTTTCGTAAAGTATAGCACCTCTTACCATGCACCTTGGTAGCCTATTTCTGTCCACCTATTTGATATCATTTTAACCCGATCAGGCACTTCCTAAATTCCTAGGGACCATGCCGTCTGTAACGCTCTTAAATACGTTATGCATGCTTTTGAGTGTTCTTGCTGTACGGTATGCGTTCTGAGTCAACCACTGACATTTCGGTCGTAGCGGTAAATAGATCTTGGGACTGAATAGTTCTGTATGTCTTCGACATTTACGTTGACCTTGTTTGCTTGACCGGACATACTCCAGCTGCAGGCACTTGGTCACGCATCCGTACCACATCACCATTGAATAGATCGTTCCACGCATCCCTCTCAACAACTATCATACAAACCTATGAACAAACACTTCTCAATATGTCGGCAAATTTGAAATATATCTTCGAACTTCTTGGTTTCTCACTTCTGGTATTAACTAGCTTGGTGTCTTCTGGTTGTGAAGGTGGTACGGATAAAAGCGTCCTATAATCATAGAAACCTATAGCACCCTCAACATGGACCTCAGATGTTGTTATTACTTACTTTACTTACGCCTGTTACTCCCAATGGAGCATAGGCCGCTGACCGGCATTCTCCAACCCACTCTGTCCTGCGCCTTCTTTTCTAGTTTCATCCAATTCTTGTTCATTCTTCTTATGTCTATCTCCATTTCCCGGCGTAGTGTGTTCTTTGGTCTTCATCTTCTCCTTTGGCCTTGAGGATTTTACGTGAGGGCTTGTCTGTGACGCAGTTGGGTGCTTTCCTCAATTTGTGTCCTATCCACTTCCAGCGCTTCTTCCTGATTCCTTCCTCCGCTGGGATCTGGTTTGTTCTCTCCCACAATACGTTGTTGCTAATAGTGTCCGGCCAATGGATCTAAAGTATTTTGCGTAGACAACTGTTAATAAACACTTGTATTTTCTGGATGATGGCTTTCGTAGTTCTCCAGGTTTCTGCCCCATACAGTAGAACCGTCTTGACATTTGTAATGAAAATCCTGACCTTGGTGTTGGTTGACAGTTGCTTTGAGTTCCTGATGTTCCTCAATTGTAAATATGCTGCTCTTGCTTTGCAGATCCGCGCCTTCACATCTGCATCAGACCCACCTTGTTCATCAATGGTGCTGCCCAAATATGTAAAGGTTTTCACATCTTCCAAATCTTCTCTGTCAATTGCGATTGGATTGGTGCATTCTGTGTTGTATCGGAGAATCCTGCTTTTCCCTCTGTGTATATTGAGACCTATTGCTGCTGAGGCTGCTGCCACACTGTTAGTCTTCTACTGCATCTGTTGTTGCGTTTGGGATAAAAGGGCCAGATCATCTGCGAAGTCTAGATCATCCAACTGCATCTTAGATGTCCATTGTATCCCGAGCTAACCTTCAGATGTTGATGTCTTCATGATCCAGTCGATCACCAGGAGAAAGAGAAAGGGTGAGAGTAAGCAACCTTGCCTAACACCGGTCTTCACTTCGAACGACTTTGTCAACTGTCCTCCATGCACGATTTTGCAGTGTAATCCATCATATGAACTCTGTATGATATTGACTATCTTCTGAGGCACGCCGTAGTGTCGAAGGAGCTTCCATAGTGATGTTCTGTCCACGCTATCAAATGCTTTTTCCTAGTTAATGAAGTTGATGTAGAGTGATGAATTCCATTCAATTGATTGTTCCACAATGATCCGTAGAGTTGCTATTTGGTCTGTACACGATCGATCCTTACGGAATCCTGCCTGTTGGTCACGAAGTTGGGCGTCTACGCAGTCCTTCATCCTGTTTAACAATACCCTGTTGAAGACTTTTCCCGGTATTGAGAGAAGAGTGATGCCCCTGTAGTTATCACAGTTGCTGAGATCGCCTTTCTTCGGTATTTTGATCAGAAGTCCTTCTTTCCAGTCTGTTGGTACTTGTTCCTCATCCCAAATCTTATTGAAGAGAATGTGGAGTATTCATGCAGTTACCGATACGTCTGCTTTTAGTGCCTCTGCTGGGATGTTGTCTGGCCCTGCTGCTTTGCCACTCTTGACTTGTCTGATGGCCATGCTGATTTCTTCAATTGTTGGTGGATCAACATTGATTGGGAGGTCCGTGGGTGCTGCTTCGATATTGGGTGGGTTCAGTGGGGCTGGTCGATTTAAGAGTTCTTTGAAGTGTTCTACCCACCTGTTTTGTTGCCCTTCAATGTTGGCGATTACCTCACCTTCCTTGCTTTTCACTTGTCGTTCTGGTTTGCGGCGATTTCCAGAGTTTCTTTGTCGTGTCATGCAGTTGTCTCATGTTTCCTTCTCTTGCAGCCTTTTTCGCCGTCGCTGCTAAATCTTCCACATATTTACGTTTGTCGGTTCTGATGCTCCTCTTCACTTGTTTGTTTATTTCTGTGTATTCACTTTGTGCCTTTGCTTTCTCTGCTCTTGTTCGTCTGGTATTGATTGCTGGCTTCTTGTTCCTTCTTTCTTGATAATTATCCATTGTTTCAATAATGGTCCATTTCTTTCGGTGGTGCTTCGTGTGTCCCAGAACCTCATAACATGTTGAGGTGATCGTCTCTTTGACCCCTTTCCAGTTGCTCTCCATAGTAATTCCTTCTCCATTGAGTAGATCATAAAAGGTTTGGAACCTAGTGCTCAGGTCCTTCTTGAGTCTTCATTCTAAGCTATCTATTGGTGAGAAGTAAACGGCCATCTAACTCTATGAGGGTTTCGGGAGCGATCAACTCTAATAAGTCCATGGCTTCAATGAAACTCATTAATCTTCAGGTCCCTCTCGTAGCTGTTTCTTGTTAAAACTTTCGGATAAGCTTATAAGGAGAAACTCGATTGTACACTCTAATGATTTGGCATAGATTTTTTATTTCACATTTATTATGGCTGCTTTGAAGCATTGGAAGATCAATCGGCACTTAAATCTGAACCCTATGTCAGATCTTGACAAGTAGTTAAGATATGGCCAATTTACTGTCAAAGAAGCTATATGCCTCAAGAAAAACAAAGGATATTTAGAAGAATTATAAAAACATCTTCACAATAACACGGACCATCGAAATGGTGTGACTTATAAAATCAAGTTAGAGACTGAGTTCTACTCATCGTGCCATATCAATATGGTCTCTACTTCATCCTCGACGAAAATATAAAAGATGAACGAAAAGGATTACAAATGGATATAATGATCAATATCAAAGACAACATTTAATTATCATTAAGAATGAGGCATTTTGTATAGCTCTAACTGTCAGCTTCCTCTTGAATCATACGCTATTGAAACATCACTATCCGACTGTTGATAACGGCTGATCACTTGTGTTATGTGTTACTCAGTTTCCATTTTTTTACGTACACTTTGGGATTTTTGATTTATAGCAATTTGGTTGATACATTTATTTCTGAGATTTCAAAAATCTGAATGATGAAAGATGCATCAACTTCTTGTCATTCAGAGATAAGTACAGAAGAAATTCGACCAGACCAGTCAGTGTCCGCAAATAAAGCATCAGTGTTAAAAGAACTATGATTAGTGGTCAATGAACCACGGTACCACGCTTTTCGAAGGGGAAGTTTAGTCCTAACGTGATTTGCATATATCAAACTTTTGCTGTGTTCTTACGCAACAAAAGTACCATTTCTGACCAAAAGAATCTATCCTGAGCTAAACGTACGGTAGATTACTGATTTTCTTGAGTTTCACTCAATTTAATAATTAACTGTGGTTTTGCCTCAGCTTATTATTCAGTTTTTTTTCCAGTTTTTCATGTGAAGACTAGTTCAGTTTATCTCATCCATTTTATCAATTTTTGTCCGTCTTCAGTGTGTTTTTTAGTGTATTTTTTACGGTCCTAGGCCTTTGTTGCACCCACAACACAGTTTACGTCAAACGACCTGGATGCCGTTTCGCTGTTACATCTGGCATGCAGTGCGACAACTTCAAAGGTTGGTTCCACGTAGCGTGCATAGATCTCACAGCAATCGCTTTCAACAGACTCAGCAAGTCGGATCATAAGTGGGAATGTGTAACGTGGAGCACGGATTCTGCAGACTTGCTGAGTAATATCATTGTCCTACTGACTGGCCTGCAGAGCAAGTTGTCGGCAAACTTGGGAAAAGACAGTCAAAAAATGGGTAGACAAACAAGGAAGCGCAGTGAAAACGAGAAGAGGAATGTCGACAGGTCTACCAACGACGTAGCATGCAACAGCAATAATGATGACACGCTGAAACTCGGCACCATGTATACGACGACGGTACTCGACTCTCTCAGAAA